CCCAAACACCAACAACAGTCCCAGCAGAAACAGCAACAGCAACAGCACAAATCCACATCTCAATCGACCACCAAGTCCTCTACTACCTCAAAAACCGTCGAGCACCAACCCAAGGGCGATGATCGTCAGAAAACCATCGACCCTCATCAGAAAATGGACGATCGCTCTCAGAGGACAGGTCCTCGAGCTCCCAATCCCAAAGACCCTAAAAACCCAATTACCGATAAATCCTCCGATCCTCACACCTCCTCTAAAACCAAAACCCAAGAAAAATCGCCCCTCGTCCAACCATCTTCCAAAACCACTCTCGTCGTATCGACCAAAACTCTGGTCGAGTCCGGCAAGAGTGGTGACGGGGGGCGTGAGTGTAACACCCCACTTTGATTTTAAAGAAAATCCGGACTTTCAAAAAAATCAGTATAAAATTTTCGAAAACATTTTCGAAATCATGGGCGTTATCCAACATTAACCTCAACCAAGTCATATCTGGTTGTTCACATGGTTTTCATTAACCTTTCAAAACTCAACTTCACATTTCTAAACATTATAGCATGCACATGATATTCAATAAACAACTCACATATAAATATCCAAACCAAACATAAGTTTCAAAATACGTTTTGAAAGATAGTTCAAGTGTCTCAAATCACCACACATTATTCATAGCGGAAGCAATAACATAAAAACATAATCAAATATCGACCCACTCGTCATCCTCCGTCATCCGGCACCTGCTTAACCTGCATCCGTGAAGAGCAGGTGGGAGTGAGCACAAGAGAAAAATAGTGCTCACTACTATGCACATAAATAACATAAGACAATGGTATGGTCGCAGCATGAACATAAGATAATCACATATTGTCTCATCTCCTATCATAATCACAACAATCACATTACTCCTGTGCACATCTATCGCTAGCCGCAGAATGGGGATTCATTACCCGAAGGCGGGAGTACATGCCACGCTACGGACACGGCCTTCCATATGGGCTTGCGTACCTCGCAAAGGCACGGCCATATCAGGACTTAAGGAGACTTGCCTCGCAAGGGCAACCGTATTACATCGACGGGGACAACCGTACCGACGGCCGTAACAGCTCACATCGATAGGCTACATATTTCATATTCATACTTAGATCATACCGAAAATAAAACATTCATCATTCATGGCATAGACGATTTTAGATTAGAACCCACCTGGTGCAGCAAAAGGAGAACAACACAAGCAAGGGTAGGCAGCGAGCACGGCTCGTCAAACACCTACAACAAAATATTATACTAAGATCAACACTTTGACCTTAGAAGAACATACACAATCATACTTGGTCGAACTCGAGTCGACCAAGTCGTTCGTGAAGTTCTGTGGACTTTGGAACACTTGGATCTAATGCTTAGACTTGACTAAAAACACATAAAATATGAACTATGGACCTAACACATAAGGCAACGATCAAAACAGTCAAAGACACGCACATAAGGGTTGGAAAAATATAGGGAAAGTAAGGGTCGGGCCCCCGGGCTGCTCGCTGGCACGGTCGGGGCACGGCTGGTGCTGCTGGGCACGCACGGCGCTGGCGGGTCGCGC